ACTAAAGGCTCGCTAGTTCAGTTAGCCAAGCGTTTGAGTACCAGTATTTAGGCCCACATATGTAAAATACGTTTAATAACTTGTGCATCCCTTATTAAAGCTTGAATCTAATTTATATATTGTATCAGCTTCTCTTTAAATATCAGATCATACTATGAATAAAACGTGACAACCTCTCAAATTATTGTTCCTTATTGTGTATTTATTTCTCTTTCTCTTTTTCTTTCTCTTTCTGTCTTACACTCGTACACAAAAAATATGTCAACGAAGTTCTCATGTCAGAACAAACGACTCAGAAGAATGAAGCGATCGATAATAATCAACGAATTATTGCAAGCAAGGCAGGCGTTTGAAACGATCAACTGTAAGGACGTGCCATAAGATTTCCAATTCAGATCAAATATCTATGGAGTTAAAGGTCAAGCAAACGACCGACCAACATCAATCTATCAGTCCTACTATATTAAAATATCATCGTAATTCCTCAAAAGACCCTCTAAAAGTTAATGATAATAAGACTAATCTGTATTTTTTTTTAAGACAATGTTCCAAATCTTAGGCAGGGGGAGAGTACAGGGATGGTTGGGTGGCGAGAAATTATCTACGGCACTGACATTGAATGATAGCAGGGCTCTTTTTGGAGCGCAAAAATCGAGGAAGAAGATGAACAGGAAGTAGATCTCCTGCCAATGCAGCCGAGATCTCTTCATCATTGCCTCATATGTAGGCCGTCCACAAGCTATAGGATTCTATTGCGCGCCTCTGTAATTTACGCCCTGTGGAGAGAAAAGGTGAATGCAGTGATGAGTGAAAGGGGTGATGGATGGATGTGTGAAATGTGTGGGGATAGATGAATGTCAACATGTGATCCTCAGTGTATCATTATCAATCACTGATCTTTAATTTATAAGCAGCAATAGGAGTGTAGCAATTTAGGTACACTTGCTTTGGAATGTACAAGTTTTTTCAAGGGATATAATAGTATTATTTTCAATTTAGTAAGTTGAAACTTTTATTACTTGGCTTTTATTAGTTGATACTTAAACATCATTTGTTGGGTTTTGATTTGTCTTTTGTGAATATCATTAAAGAGTTTGGGGTCGAGGAAGGATGGGAGAGAGTAGAATAAGTTTAGAATTTTGTGTAGAGAGAGCCGAGAAAAAAGGCTTTTTTATTCATATTTTTACCTCATATTTATAGGAAAGTATTTTGTATAATTACGAAAAGGAGGGAACATATATGTAAACCGTCCTTAATACAATAAATACTCTTGTTAATCGCATGGATGTCATACCATATATGTATTTACAGTTTGAATTTTAACATGGCGGTAATTGGCTGGCTGGCTCGCTTCAATTTGACTGACTGAAACGACCGGATGAGTGGTGACTGTGCTCTCTGAAATACGTGTTGGTAGGGTCTGTCGCTCGAGTCTCTCGCCAAGGCATGTCGGTCGATTCTCGCGGTTAGCAATAGGGCGGTAAGACACCTTGATTGTCCTGCTGTTGTCGGGGTCGTTTGGATGCTTTGAGATTCGTACTAACGTTTATGATATATAAACGTGAGAAAGCCAAAAAGGCAAGTATTTACATCGTAATGAGACAATTTTTTTTCTTTTGGCTATAAGAACTTGGTATAATCAATGTGATAAATATCAAGTGGGTAGTCATACACATCGTATGCAGAAGATTATATTGAATCTTGATCATAGACTAGCAAGGGTAGGGCGATGCTGCTTGAATGTGTGGCATGAAATCATTTGCATATAAGCAAACTTAATATTGTGTGACTCTATATCAAATTCAAGATAAGTATAATCAACATATTTGCATGCTTCTCCAAGACTCAATAAAGTGATTTTGTCTGAGGTATTATGATGTCATCTCATTTGCAGAGCAGTGCCAAGATGCAAATAATATTTAAAGATGTGGAATGTGTGACTAATATAAGAAACACATCTATGTAATTTCTTTCCATCTCTTATTTTTTATTTTGAAAATTTAATCTAAGGGCCTCACAAATTCTGTACTAAGTCTCTATTGTTTTAGTCTTGTAGAATTATAACAAGTAGTTGTTGACACATCTTCTTTAATGGCAAGTTTAATTTATACACCATTTCTGGTTTTATATAGGTCTTATGACATTAAATTTCTGGTGGATTTATCTCTTTAGTAACCTTGTAACCTAATTAAAGCATTCTCAAATTATTTTATATTCTATTTTGATAATCAATACTCTAAGAACTATAGATAACTCAAATTGGGTTGCTCAACCTTCCCATAGTGGTGAAAGTAGTTCATTGAATATCTGGGCTGTTCTATTTGGTGGCTCTTCCTCTACGACTTCAACAAACATAGCTCTTGTTCTATTGAACACCATTTCTTCAAATCTATTGGAATCATACTCAACTGGAGGATTATAACTTGTTGAAGGAGCATAGCTCATTTAAAGATCAACTTCATAGTAAATATTTAGTTCATACTTTTCATGTGAAGTCTAAAACCAATAATTTTGATTGAAATTACCCACAATAAAAATCATAACAAATTTCATGTAGCATCAAGTATATTTGATTCTTATGTTTCACACATGGGCATCAAAAAACTTACTCTCATAAAGGTAAGTCGAATGCTGAGAAGCCACTTGTACAAAAGACTCAACATGGTTCAATAACTCATCATTTAGTCTTTTTTTTACCCGAATGCAATCAATTATATATTTAAGACATTAATTATAGCCAGTGTGAATATCCATAAATATATTTAATAACACATACCATTAACTTACATAATTACTGTATTGTACCTACTAAATTGTGTGGTATCTACTTTAAATATAAAGCCATAAAACCTATATATATGTCAAATTTCATACATATCATACTTACAAAACTGAGCGGTGTGTGCATGAGAGGGCATTTACATACATACCCCAAATTCCTATATATTTATCTATCAAATGCATATACTTACATATTCATATAGAAACCTAACAACTAAGTGGGTTACATACATATCTCAAAATTCCTATCTATTTATTTATCTGACCACGACTCTTACGCGTTAAACCCTAAACCATTGATTATGGGGCATTTACATATATACATAGGAGTGTAAACCAGGTTCAAAAATACCATGGTCTGATCTTGTTCGACTCGTTTATATATTGAGCCCAAAAAGTGTGTTCGTGTTCGACCCGTTTGTTTAGCGAGCCGAACACAAGATGTTCACAAACAAAAAGTCATTTTGACAACCCTAATCACGTAGTCATAAGATGTTAACGATTGAGGCAATATTTAAAACATCATTTTAATCTAAATTAATAATTTCTATTCTATTTTCTTCATTAATACTTTTAAATGATTATTAATCTTTGTAGCCTTGTAGTCAATTAAATTTTTAAAAAATACTCATTAAAGATATATACATATATAATTGATTTGTAGTATTTCGAGCCAAAACGAGCCGAACACGAACGAACAAATTTTTTTTCGTGTTGTTCGTGTTCGGCTAGTTAACCTAGCGGACGAGCCGAACACGAGCTTCTTAACGAGCTGAACACAAACTGTTCGTGAACAAAGAACCGTTTTGACAGCCCTCTATATACATCACCTAATCTAGAGTAAATCCTTACATATTCATATAGAAACCTAACAACTAAGTGGCTTACATACATATCTCAAAATTCATATCTATTTATTTATCTAACCACAACTCTTGTGCGTTAAACCCTATACTATTAATTATGGGGCATTTACATATATACATAGGGGTGTAAAAGAGTCGAACACCAACGAGCCCAGGCTCAGCTCGTGTTCTTTTATTTTTCGAGCTAAAAAAGTGTGTTCGTTTTCGACTCGTTTGCTTAGCGAGCCGAACACGAGCCGTTCACGAACAAAAATTCATTTTGACAACCCTAATCTCGTAGCCATAAGATATTAATGATTGAGGCAAGATTTAAAACAAAAAATTGATTAGTAGTATTTCGAGCCGCCGAACACGAACAAATAAATATTTTTTTGTGTTATTCGAGTTCGACTCTTTAAATTAGCGGACGAGCCGAACACGAACTTCTTAATGAGTCGAACGTGAGCTCTCCCCGAATAACGAGCCGTTTTGACAGCCCTATAATATACATCACCTAATCTAGAGTAAATCACACCTAAAAATTATCCTAAATCATATATAAAAACTCAAAACCAACCAATTGAAGGCAATGTATTCCAACGGCCATGACTGTCAGGCCTGTTGTTCCAGACTTTTCTGCAGAAATATTTGGGTATTATCTGACTAAAAGTTGAACTTTACATAATATATTAATAATGTACAAAATTTCTGTCAGAACTTTATAAATGATCACAATATTTTTTTATTATTTTCCCATGAACACAACTCTCCGATAGGTACTGGGCCCCATTTCATTGTTTGATTACACGAGGAAAGTTAGATATGCTGTTCCTTTCATGATAAACCTCATTCCCAACTCCACATTGAACCCACCACCTTTATTTTTCTCCACATTCATCTGGCTACTGCAATAGCAATAGAGTCAGATTGGCAAGTATCTATTCAATCGAGAGGAGTTTCGTTATGTGAGTTGGGGTACGGTCTTGTTCCACAGTACGGTATAGAGATAGTTTTGTAATTACATATTGTATTCTATGGTTATATATATACTCTAATTAAAAGAGCTGCTAATAGCTCCTTACGCATTAATAAAAAAAAAGGTTACAAAGTTTGGGAGGGATAGTGGATCCCCAACTAAATGTAAAAATACATCAAGTTCCAATATATATATATATATATATGCTATATTGTGACGCTAACACGATGTACTCTCTTTTTCGTGAATTAAAAGAAAAGCCACCGCTTTGCTCTCGATAACATAGATAAATTGTCGAACCTCATTAAATCTCAGTGTTTTCTTTTTGTGTCAATTCTCGCATCTTCTTTGCCTTAATTCCTCAACACAAATGAACCAAATAAGATGAGAAAATAAAGAAGAAACATTGAATAGAACGAAAGTAAGAAAGAGAAAAGATGTTGTTGCCTTCCACTGCAGAAATAGTCCTGGACCAGAGATTGGAGGAGGGTCAAGAAGCTATCATGGATCAAACCTCCCACACGCCCTTCAGCTTTCATCCCCTCGGATTAATCCAAACCTCCATTAATATTGCTTCATCATCCAACGTTAGAACAGAAGCTGCTTCTTCTCCTTCCTCTTTGCACAGATCTGCTACAAACCCTAGTTGGTAAAATTTTAATCTGAAATTATTGAAATTATGTATTCATATAAGTTTGTGTGTGACGATATTTATATGTGATTTGCAGGCCATGTTGTGAGGAGACAATCAGAGGGTCTAGGGCTGCAGTTGATAATCACAACAATATTAGCAATATGTCCTATAGTAATTATGCAGTAAACCCTAAAAGTGATAAGGTTGGCAATAATTTGTCAGTTGGAGCTATGAGGATGAAGAATGTGAAAGCTAGAAGGAAGATAAGGGAGCCTAGGTTTTGCTTCAAGACCATGAGTGAGGTAGATGTTTTGGATGATGGATACAAGTGGAGGAAGTATGGTCAGAAGGTAGTCAAGAATACTCAGCACCCAAGGTGCGCATGTGTCAGAAGGTAGTCAAGAATACTCAGCACCCAAGGTATGCATGTCTTATTTATGCATATTTAGCATTTTATTGAAAAAATTTCAGATTATAGAGTGCATATATATATATATATATATATATATCTGTGTGCGCGCGCGCGCATGCGCCGCTTACTCAGCTCAGTTGGTCGGGTATCTATTTGTCTGTCGTAAGTTCTCTCTGATCTGGGATTTCATTCCTCCCGGTGGAGGGTGTGGTGCTAGAATTGTTTAGGGGCATCGGGATGACCGAGACTCGTATAATAACATCAGGCTTATATATATATAATATATATATATATATATATATATATATGCTTTCATTAATCTAAGTAATTTGTGTTTTTGCATCATGCGGACAATACTGAATCTTTGAAGAACTTAGTGTCGATATTCTTGTTTATCATTCAAACCAAGTGAGAGAGATGACTAGATCATGATGGAATTTATGTTTTTATGGGCTTGTTAATAGTTATTTTTTTATTTGTTTTAATTGGTAAATTGGTTCGATAAATCATTTTAGGTTTAAGAGAGAACGTAAAAAACTAGATTAATACCTTTATCATGTTCAGTAGTTTTATCATTTATCTGAAAGTACAGCAAAATAATGTGATATAGATCAGTTGATCCGACATCTACTTGTCAGTTGTAAGTCCCATCTGGTCTGAGGTTCGATTCCCCCCTTGGAGGGAGTGGTACTTGAATTGTTAGGCTCATCGGGGGATGACCGGGACTCGTGTGGTAGCCTCAGACCATTCCTTTGTTTTATAATATGTATGTGTGGAATTTGAACCGTTGATTGTGTAATTAATGAATAAAATCACAAAAACTTTAAAAATAAAAAAATGATGAATAGTTAGTCATTTTAGAAAACAAACAAATCTAACATATGAGGAGCATAATGTGATTAAGAGATTTGTAACTGCAATTTCCAAGGGAAATTATGACTCATTATATTGGTCTGATAGACAGCAGTTAGTAAAAATGATTAGCAAAGAAAAGCTCGAGGGACATTGATATAGATAATATGAGAAAATATGTCGAATTTTTATCACACCCCCTCTCTATTTTTTTCTTATGAGTAGCTTATTTCACTTAGCATAATGTGTTGTGCTCGACTCTTATTCAAATATTAGCATGGTAAAGTGTCGGTTGTTTTAGTTACAGAGTTTATAGAAATGTCAGAAAGTCAAAAGAGCTCTGATAGTTCTTTATGATGATTACTTCAGCTCCAACTTAAAGAATTTAGGAGCTATTTTGACATTTATACAATTTTTAAATAGTCTGGGACTATTTTGACACTTTACTCCTTTTTGTTTTTGATTAATTTACTTGCAGCTTGCTACAATGAATTAGGGATATAAACTCAACATACCTTATTATATTTTCTAAGGTTTTGATTAAAAATAATATTTTTTTTAGTCACTCATTTTTATATTATAGTTATGTTTTCATTAATAACATGACCATTAATGATGTGCTTAATATTGTAGCTAAATCACTAAAATGAATGTTGAATTGACTGTTTCGGTAATTATAATCTTTCTTATATTATAGTACAGATGATATGATTTAAAGTTTTAGGCAAATTATAAAAAATCATGTTAATGGTTATTTCTAAAACACTAATGATAAATACTTCGGAGTTTATATTTATTGAAATATTATAAATAGTTTAATTTTCGACAGTAATTATATTCTAAGTTAATGTAAATAATGATTTTATTTAATTAAAGTTTTTTAAACATTCTTTATTTAATTTATTATTATTATTTAATTATCATTTGATGCGAAAAAATAATAAATTAAAATTAAAAAATGTTAAATAATGCTAATGTTTATTGAATATTTTTCTAATATCTTACTTTTTCTTAGCCTTTTTTTTAGAAAAAAAAAAAAAAAAAAAACTTTTTATGCATTGTGTCACAAACTTAATGTGTTTCATAATAGAAGTTGAAACCAAACAATAAAAAATGTCAAATATAATAAAGTGCTTAGTAATTATATGTGGCTTTCTCATAACATGATGTCAAAATAAGTAAGATAAGAAAAATGTAGGTTAACTTAGAGTTAAAGCAAAAAATTAGCTCAATGAAAGTCAATAAGGCTTATTTTTATTATAAAACAATGTAGAAAGGATTACCTTATAGTTTTTTATAGATTGTACATAGTATATACTAGACAAACTACAAAATACAACTCTTTTTAGATACAACTCTTTTTTGGGTAATTGAAAAGATACAACTCTTTTTGTTAAGAACTATTTTAAAAAACAAGGTGTTATGTTTATTGAATCAACTAAACACAACTCATTAGCTTATCGTTAAATCATTTCCATGTTGCTATAATGCCGATGCATTTTTCATAGGGGTGCATGTGTGCACGCTTGTGTTATGTGTTTGTGTGTGTGTGATATCAACTTTGCTTTTATACAAAATTAAATTATATAAATGATGAACCAAACACATCAAAAGTGAACCAATCATAGTTCAAATGAGCCCAAATATAGCACTTCGAATATAGTAGGATGCTTTCAAACATCAATTGAAGGCCAATTTAATCTCTGAGTCTTACATGCTTTGAATCAAATAGAGTATTTTAATAGGACAAGTCTAAAGAATCCACAATATCACATAATTCTGACTTCATTAAAGCATTAAAAAGCCTAAAAAACACCAAATAGAATAAGTAATTATTCGAGATCGCCTAATGGAGTGTTCTAAGTTATAATTTATTTTTTGAAAATATCACTATAAAATTTTAAATATACTACCATTCCCAACCAACATGTCTTGTGTTAAGATTTTGATGGCTTAGCCTCTACACTGGTGCTGCGAATCTTTTCTGAAGGAGTATACACCAATCAACACATCTTATGTTTATATTTTGATAGTTATTCATCATCATGATGAAGAGACTATTAAGTGTCCATGTATGTTTATATCAATTTCAAAAAGTTAAAATCAATATTGTCACTTTCATGAGTGTAATGGATACAAGAGCAAATCATTCAAACAACTTAAAGATGAAATTAAAAACTAATTTGGCAAGAGCATTTTATTTGAATCATATACTAATCTACCAACACAAGTACATCCATTATTGGAGACCACAAGTACAAATAATAAGAAAATAACTAATTTTTTTGTTAAATTGGAGCAATCGTTGAAGTTATGCTATTATATAATTAAATCATCATTGTTATCTTTGAGGGGTCAATACGAAAAGAATTATATGATAATAAAGCTATTATTTTTTTTAAATTTAATCAATAGGGAGTTTATATTTTGCACCAAGACTTACTTGTCATTCCCATGTAAATTTTAAACCAATGTTACAATATTAAAAGGATTATGCTAAAAAATGTGAGCACTATTGACGTTCCATTCTCCTCCACATTTCTAAACTTACAATACATTAGGGAGAGGTTCACCCTATTGTTGGACCACTAGAAGAATTTGATAATTTAGTAATGACTAAATGTATTAATTACTCTTTCTACTATAAATAGGTAAATCCCTTAACAGGCAACTCAATCAATCTAGCTTATGATATTCAAGTCAAAATTAGTATATATTACCATCTTATGAGGCCACTTCAATCAATGTTCAACACTATTACCTCTATGCTTCAACTTATGGTGAAGCTCCCAATCCTTTCTAATCCTTGCTAGAATTTGGGTATTATGTGGATACTAACATGCAATACAATTATGTTACCTTAGACAATTTAAAACCTTGCTTATATAGCCCTCAACATTAAAAGCTTCGACAATCAAACTGTAAAAAAAGCTCCAAATAGGTTCTCCTATAAAATATTTGATGCATTTTCCAATGTGTATTTAGAATCTCCCATAGATAGTCCAATTTAGTCATTTACTCTCTAATGAGCACAGGTTAAAATATATAGACATTTTATGTAAGAACCATGATCTCTTTTCTTAAAGCATCATATATGAATTTAATAGTTAAACGGGAGCAAGTAAAATTTAACATCTCTAATGAGCACAGGTTAAAATATATAGACATTTCATGTAAGAACCATGATCTCTTTTCTTAAATCATATATGAATTTAATAGTTAAACGAGTCATTCAGCAAGTAAAATTTAACGCTCAATCGGCTATAAATAATTGAACAAAAAATCAATAATTTTCTTAAGGCCAAATTTCAAATGAGATGTACACCATGCTAGTTGTTTGGCTAATTATATATATATATATATATATATATAATGGGGTGGGCGCTAAGAGGATGTCATTAAATACACCAATCTTAAAAAAAGCCTATAAAAAAGGCAATATTTTCTTCTTGTAGATTAAATTATTGATATAACATCTAAATATTAGATGCTTAGGATTTTAGATTCTTATTTTTACTACAATCAAGTAAAAATAAAATTAATGAATGAAAATATTTCTTTAATGCAATTGGAAAAGGCTTATATAGTTATATATTGAACAAAATTTTCATTAATTTCATTGGGTGCACTGAAGAAATATATGCAAATCATAGAGAAGTCATCAATCAAAACCTGTATACCTTGCCCAATTAAATATATATTCATGTAGGAAGCAATGAAGCAATAAAAAAAGTGCCCTAATAGCTTATCTAACATTTGATCAATGAAGATGAAGAAAAAAATCCTTCCTAGCGATTTTATTTATTTTTCTATAATTGATGCAAATCCTTAATCAAGTCATTATTCTAGTGAGAAACAAATCCCTATTTTCCTTTTAAATCTCTATGAACCCACCTTTCTGAACACAAAATGGATAAGATTTACCCACACCCTATCAGAAATATGATGTATCACACCCATATCCAACCATCCCAATATCTTCTTTTTTAATCACTTTTTTCATGATAGGACATAGCCTTCTTTGTGAGTCTATCTTTGACTGACGATTACCCTCCATTAAAATTTTGTGCATATATAGAAAGGGCTAATTCCTTTAATATGTGTAATTGTTCAATTAAAGGTGTTTTTATATGTCCTTAGCACTCTTATAAGTTTATTTCTAATAGAACAAATTTCCTAAAGATAGATAAGGATATAAGCTTAATACAAGCTCTTAGGTCATAAAAAGCTTTTCTAAAAAAATTATCCCCAATGGTATAAGGAATGGTAAAATAATTTTGATATTTTAGTTTCTAATTTTTTTTTAATTTAAATTATTGCACTACATACTTCAAATATAGCATCTATTTCAAAATTTTCTAGTTTGTGTTTTGTTTTATTTAATCCCACCACGTTATCGTTGCTACACATCGCCATGACCTCCTCATTAGGGTTGCTTCCCACCCTCGGCACACCACTCATTGAAGCTTCAAATTGTTGGCATATTACTCCTAAA